CTTCAGAGACTCCAAACAAAAGTGTCCCTCCGAGGCCCTCACGCTGCCCCTCGACGCCCCCAACGACCACCCCCTCAAGTGCCTGTGAGCCACCAATCGGAGACACTTTGGAGACAGTTGGAGACAGTTTGGAGACAGTTTGGAGAGATAGTTTGGAGAGATAGTTTGGAGAAGTTTGGAGAAGTTTGGAGACAGTTTTGGGGAGTTTCGGAGATAGTTTGGAGACAGTTTGGAGAGATAGTTTGGAGACAGTTTGGAGACAGTTTTGGGGAGTTTTGGAGATAGTTGGAGATAGTTTGGAGAGATAGTTTGGAGAAGTTTGGAGATAGTTTGGAGAGAGTTTGGAGAGGGTTTTGGAGATAGTTTTGGGAGTTTTGGAGACAGTTTTGGAGATAGTTTTGGAGATAGTTTTGGAGATAGTTTTGGAGGTAGTTTGAGGGACTTTGGAAGTAGTTTTGGAGGCAGTTTTAGGGACTTTTGGAGACAGGTTTAACTTCTTTTGGAGACAGTTTTAACGTCTTTTGGAAATTATTTGATCGGCTCTTGGAGACAGTTTTGGAGACAGTTTTGGAGACAGTTTTAGGGACTTTTGGAGACAGTTTTAACGTCTTTTGGAGACAGTTTTTTCTTTTGGAGACAGTTTTAACGGCATTTGGAGACAGCTTTAAGGACTTTTGGAGACAGTTTTAACATCTTTTGGAGACAGTTTTAACATCTTTTGGAGACAGTTTTAAAATCTTTTAGAGACAATTTTAACATCTTTTGGAGACAGTTTTAACGGCTTTTGGAGACAGTTTTAAGGACTTTTGGAGACAGTTTTGGAGACAGTTTTGGAAGGTTTGGAGACAGTTTGGGGGGCCTTTGGAGACAGTTTGAGGAGACAGTTTAGGCAGCTCTGGAGAGAGTCTTAACAGCTTTTGGAGACAGTTTTAAGGAGACAGTTTGAAGGAGACAGTTTAGAGGAGACAGTTTAAAGGAGGCAGTTTAAAGGAGACAGTTTTAAGGAGACAGTTTTAAAGAGACAGTTTTAAAGAGACAGTTTTAGGAGACAGTTTTAGGAGACAGTTTAAAGGAGACAGTTTAAAGGAGACAGTCGGAGGAGGCAGTTTAAAGGAGACAGTTTGAACGGAGACAGTTGGAGGAGGCAGTTTAATGGAGACAGCCAACGGAGACAGTTCAAAAGGAGACAGTTGGAGGAGACAGTTTAAAAGGAGACAGTTGGAGGAGACAGTTGGAGGAGACAGTTGAGACAGTTGGAAAGGAGACAGTTGCAGTGCTGCGAGTCCCAGAGTCCCCAGCGCATGCAGAAAAGCCCCAAAAGTGCCTTTTTTCGGAGACTGTCTCCTTTTGTGCCCCCAGCCTCCGCCGCCCCTCCAGTGTCTCCTTTTGTCCCCAAAGTCCTCTTTGTCTCCTCCTGTGTCCCCTTTGTCTCCTTTGTGTCTCCTTTGTCTCCTTTTATGTCTCCTTTGTCTCCTTCATATCTCCTTTGTCCCCAAAGCCTCCTCTGCCTCCTCTTGTGTCTCCTTTGTCTCCTTTCTGTCTCCGTTTGTCCCCAAAGTCCCCTCTGTCTCCTTCTGTGTCTCCTTCATGCCTCCTTTTGTCCCCTCAGTCCCCTCTGTCTCCTTTCTGTCTCCTTTTGTCCCCAAAGTCCCCTCTGTCTCCTTTTGTGTCCCCTTTGTCCCCTTTTCTGTCTCCTTTGTCCCCTTCATATCTCCTTTGTCTCCAAAGTCTCCCCTGTCTCCTTTCTGTCTCCTTTCTGTCTCCTTTCTGTCTCCTTTCTGTCTCCTTTGTCCCCTCAGTCCCCTCTGTCTCCTGTCTGCATGCGCGCAGCTGCCGAGCGGGCTACGCGCCATCGCTCGCGAGCGGAGACAGTGTGGGGCAGTGTCTCCCCGTGCCTCAGGGGACCTTCAAAGACACTGTCTCCAACAGCTGGCCTGTCTCCTGTCCCCTGGGGGCGCTCACGGAGACAGCAGCAGCAGACTCGGTGTCTCTTTGCGTCTGCGAGCCCGGAGAGTTCAGAGACCCCGACTCCCAGATCTGCACTGTCCGCCAAACCCTTTTTTAGGGTTTACTTTCTGTCTCCCATTCTGTCTCCAATTCTGTCTCCAATTCTCTCCCAATTCTGTCTCCATTTCTGTCTCCAACTCTGTCTCCAACTCTGTCTCCAATTCTGTCTCCAATTCTGTCTCCAATTCTGTCTCTAAATTTATCCAGTTTTGTCCAAATGTCTCCAAATGTCTCCAAATTTCTCCAAATTTCTCCATTTCTTTCTTCATTTCTTTCTCCATTTCTTTCTCCATTTCTGTCTCCACTTCTGTCTCCAAAGTGTCTCCACTTCTGTCTCCAAAAGTGTCTCCAAAGTGTCTCCTGGTGTGGGGTTTGTTTGGTGCAGAAGTGTCCCGTGGGTTACTACTGCCCCGGGGGCCTGGACAAGGAGACAGGCGTGGAGCGGGGGCTGGTGAAGTGTCCCCTTTCGATGACAACAGCAGCAGCAGGAGCAGCAGCAGCAGCAGACTGCGTCTGCGGCCCTGGGTACTACTACCGCTCCTCCTCTGCTGCAGCAGCAGGAGCAGCAGCAGCAGCAGGAGCAGCAGCAGCAGCAGGAGCAGCAGCAGCGGAGGAGACCAAGGGGTGTCTCCTTTGTCCCGTCAACACCTACAAGGAGACACTTGGCAACAGCAGCTGCAGGGCCTGCGACGAGAACTCGGGGACTGCAGCACAAGGGGCCACTGCTGCTGCGCAGTGTCTCTGCAGCAAAGGCTACTTCTACAGTCCCCTTTTGAAGCAGTGCGTTGCATGCAGAGACCCCCGCCGCTTCTGTCCCGGAGGGACTGTCTCCTGCGAAAAGGAGACACTTTGTGCTGCTGCTGCTGTCTCCTGCTGCCCCGCGGAGACTGTCTCCTGCAGCAGCAGCGGCAGCTGCCCGCCCGGCTTCCTCGCCTGCGGCCAAAAGGAGACACTTTGCGCTGCTGCTGCTGCTTCCTGCTGCCCCCAGGAGACTGTCTCCTGCCTCGATGCTGCAGCTTGTCCCCAGGGCTTCCTGCCTTGCCAAAAGGAGACACTTTGTCAAGGAGACACTCCAATGCCGCCCCAGGACTGCCCCCCCCACACCCGCATCACCGCCGGCTTCGACACGCCCTCCAGCGCAGAAGACTGTCAGCCACTGTCTCCTTTTCTCGACTCTTCGTCTCCATTTTGTCTCCTTTTTCTCCACTTTTTCTCGACTTTTTCTCGGCTTTTTCTCCACGTTTTGTCTCCTTTTTCTCGACTCTTTGTCTCCTTTTTCTCGACTTTTTCTCGATTTTTTGTCTCCTTTTTGCCAGCTTTTTGTCTCCTTTTTGTCTCCTTTTTGTCTCCTTCTTGTCGACTTTTTTTCGACTTTTTGTCGGCTTTTTGTCGACTTTTTGTCTCCTTTTTGTCTCCTTTTTGTCTCATTTTTCTCGACTTTTTGTCTCCTTTTTGTCTCCTTTTTGTCGACACTTTGTCTCCCTTTTGTCTCCTTTCTTTTGGCTTTCAAACGGTGTCTTTTCTGTTTCTTTTGAGTCCCAAGTGGCTGTCTCCTTTTGGCCTTCTTGGGAAGTGTCTCCTTTTGTCTCCTTCCAAGTCCCAGTAAACTGTCTCCTTTTGTCTCCTTTTGTCTCCTTTCTGTCTTCACTCTGTCTCCCATTAGCTTCCAGAAAGACTCTCCTTCTTTGTCTTCTTTAACTCGCCAACAAGTGTCTCCTGTCTCCTTTTACTGTCTCCTTTGGTTTGAATTTCTTCTATTTTTTTTCTTTTTTTTGGCTCTCCTGCCTCTCCTGTCTGTCTCCATTTTTGTCTCCTTTTCTGTCTCCTCTCCAACCTCTTTCTTCCTTTCAAATAAAGCCTCCGTGTTCAACTTAAAAGTCGCTTTTAGTCGAAAACTGGGAGTCTCCTTTAAAGACTAAACTGTCTCCTTTCTGCAACTGTCTCCTCCTAGCAACTGTCTCCTTTCAGCAACTGTCTCCTCCTTACAACTGTCTCTTTTTAACAACTGTCTCCTCCTCACAACTGTCTCCTCCTCACAACTGTCTCCTCTTTCCAACTGTCTCCTCTTTCCAACTGTCTCCTCTTTCCAACTGTCTCCTTTTAGCAACTGTCTCCTCTTTCCAACAGTCTCCTCTTTCCAACAGTCTCCTCTTTCCAACTGTCTCCTCAGGCCTGTGCGACCGCGGCTACGCCTTCTTCGGCTACGAAGAGTCCCCGTTGGAGTTGGTGTCTGCCTCCTCGCCGGCGTCCCCCCGCAGCCGCAGCAGCAGCAGCAGCAGCAGCAGCAGCAGCAGCAGCAGCAGCAGCAGCAGGCGGAAGGTGTGCGTGCCTTGTCCCGCGGGGTCCTACAAGTCCTCCGTGCAAGACTCTCACTGCAATGGACTTTGTGGAGTTTTTTCGACAAGTTTTCGGGGCATGACGGAGCAGCAGCAGTGCTTTTGCGAAAAGGGGACATTTTATGTCAGCAGCAGCAGCAGCTGCGAGTTGTGTCCCTCGGGGGCGGTTTGCGAGGGGGGCCTGACAGCAGCAGCACAGGCCCGGCTGCTGCAGCTGCCGTCAGCAGCAGCAGCAGCAGCAGCAGCAGCAGCGGCGGCCTCGGGGTCGTCCGCCGCCGCAGCAGCAGCAGCAGCAGCAGCAGCAGCAGACGCAGCAGCGGACGCAGCAGCAGCAGCAGTGAGCAGCGAAGACCACATAATGCCTTATCCGAAGGCGAACTACTTCCTCGTGAAACTCAGAGACAGTTTGGAGACACCTGGGGACTGGCTGTTCCTCAAGTGTCCCGTCTCCGGCGCATGCAGAGACGGAGGGACTTGCGCGGAGACAATGGGGGACTTTTTGTGCAGCGAATGCAAAGAGGGGTTTTCCAACAACTTCGAGAGCGAACTCTGCACTGTCTGTCCCCAAGTGTCTCTAAACGGGTGTCTCCTTTTTCTGTACTACTTGGGGCTGCTGCTGTTCAACATGGTGATGGCCTATTTGAATGTCTCCGCGGGATTTAACAGAAGGTCCATTCATTCTGTTGTGATTAAAATTGCTTCCAACTTCGTGACTTGCATGTGGGTCTTCACAGTGTTGGATTTGGAGACACTTGGAGTCCCTTCTTGGTTTTTGCGGCTGCGGTCCGACGTGCAGCAGCAGATGAGTGTCTCCTCCAAGTCCCGGTGGGTCTCCGTGGACTGTCTCCTCCGGAGTCTCTTCCACTTGAGTTATTCGGAGACATATTTCTACTCCATGTTGTTTTACTTGCTGCTGCCGCTGGCGCTGCCAGCAGCAGCCACGCTGCTGCTGTACCTGCTGGTCTCCAGACTGCAGCAGCAGCAGCAGCAGCAGACGCAGCGGCAGCTGCTGCTGCTGCAGCAGACGCAGCAGTTCCAGCTGCAGGCGCTGGCGCAGCAGCTCCGAGACAAACTCGAGGAAGAGAGACTCTTCCTCATGTTCCGCAAAGTGTCTCTTCCCGAGGAGACACTTTGGAGACACTTCTCCAAGTTCTTCGAAGACATGACTCCCGTCTTCGTCACCATTTGGTTCTTCATCTACACTTCCACTTCCCGCAACATGCTGTCTCTTCTCAAGTGCACGGGAATAGAGTTTGGAGACACTCAAGGAGGGACTAAGTTCTTCCTGGCGGCCGCCATGAGCATGCAGTGCGAAGTGTCTCCTTCGAGTCCCTACCTGCCCTTCTTCCTCCTCGGAGTGGTGGGGTTGTTGTTATGGAGCGTGGGGATCCCCTTGGGGGCCTTTTGGGTTCTTTTTGTCAACAGAAAAAACTTAAACAGCAAACAAACTCGCCTCAAGTTCGGCTTTCTCCACAACGGCTTTGTGCGCCAGTTCTGGTTCTGGGAGACAGTCGTTTTCGCCCGCAAACTCGCAGTTCTAGTTGTCTCCTCGGCTGCTTTTTTTGTCTCCAAGAGTCTCCCTTCTGCCACTGTTGCTGCTGCCACTGCCCTCGCCATTGCCTTCAATATTCTCCACCTCAAGTGCCAGCCCTTCGACAAACGGCAAGGAGACACTTCTGTTTTGTGTCTCCTTTTCAAAGTGGCTCCTTATAATGAAGTGGCTCCTTGTTAAAGTGGCTCTTCAATAAAGTGTCTCCTTGTTAAAGTGTCTCTTCACTTAAGTGTCTCCTTATCAAAGTGTCTCTTCAATAAAGTGTCTCCTTGGCAAAGTGTCTCCTTTTCAAAGTGTTTCTTTTCAAAGTGTCTCCCTATTAAACTGTCTCCTTATTAAAGTGTCTGTTTAACAAGGTGTTTCCAAGTGTCTCTTTAATAAAGTGTCTCTTTAATAAAGTGTCTCTTTAATAAAGTGTCTCTTTAACAAGGTGTTTCCTCAATAAAACGTCCTCCAGTTAACTGTCTCTAAAGTGTCTCTATAATAAGGTGTCTCTTTAATAAAGTGTCTCTTTAATAAAGTGTCTCTTTAATAAAGTGTCTCCTTAACAAGTTGTCAAATTGTCTCCTTGATAATTTGTCTCCTTGACAAATGAACTTCTAAAACTGTCTCCTTTAAAACTGTCTCCTCAAGAAAGTGTCTCCTTAACCAGATGTCTCCTTCCTCGCCTCTTAGTTGCTTTCTCTTAACAATTCTAATCTTCTTCAAATAAATGTCTCCTTTAAATAAATGTCTCCTCCAAATAAATGTCTCCTTTAAATAAATGTCTCCTCCAAATAAATGTCTCCTCCAAATAAATGTCTCCTTTAAATAAATGTCTTTTCAAATAAATGTCTCCTTTAAATAACAGTCTCCTTCAAATAAATGTCTCCTTTAAATAAATGTCTTTTCAAATAAATGTCTCCTTTAAATAACTGTCTCCTTCAAATAAATGTCTTCTCCAAATATATGTCTCCTTTAAATAACTGTCTCCTTCAAATAAATGTCTCCTTTAAATAACTGTCTCCTTTAAATAACTGTCTTTTCTAAGTCGCCGTCTCCTTCAAATAAATGTCTTCTTCAAATAAATGTCTCCTTTAAATAACTGTCTCCTTTAATAAATGACTGTCTCCTCTATATAGCCACCTCAGCCCCATTTTGTCCCTTTTTGTCTCTTTTTTGTCTTTTTTTGTCTTTTTTTGTCTTTTTTGTCTCTTTTTGTCCCTTTTAATCCCTTTAATCCCGTCAGTCCCCCGAGTCCCTTTCAAGTGGCATTAAGTCCCTTTTAACTGCACCAGTCCCTTTAAATAATTGCAACTGTCTCCTTCAATTGCAACTGTCTCCTTTAATTGCATCTGTCTCCTTTAATTGCATCTGTCTCCTTTAATTGCATCTGTCTCCTTTAATTGCAACTTTAATTGCAACTGTCTCCTTTAAGTCTCCTTTAACTCAACTGTCTCCTTTAATTTAACTGTCTCCTTTAATTTAACTGTCTCCTTTAATTTAACTGTCTCCTTTAATTGCAACTGTCTCCTTTAATTTATCTGTCTCCTCTAATTGCAACTGTCTCCTTTAATATAACTGTCTCCTTTAATATAACTGTCTCCTTTAATATAACTGTCTCCTTTAATTTAACTGTCTCCTTTAATTTAACCGCCTCCTTTAATTTAACTGTCTCCTTGAATTTAACTGTCTCCTTTTATTGCAACTGTCTCCTTTTTTGTCTCCTTCAGAAACTACTCCACTTTGGATCGCCTCGAAAACCACAGCATGGCCATTTGGACTTTCGCCTGCTGCACCGTCGGGGTCAGTTTGGCCCTTTTTGTCTCCTTTTTGTCTCCTTTTTCTCTCCTTTTTGCCTCCATTTTGTCGCTTTTTGTCTCCTTTTTGTCTCCTTTTTGTCTCCTTTTTGTCTCCTTTTTAGCTCCTTTTTGTCCCTTTTGTGTCCCCTTTTTGTCTCCTCTTTGTCTCCTTTTGGTCTCCTTTTGGTCTCCTTTTGGTCTCCTTTTGGTCTCCTTTTGGTCTCCTTTTGGTCTCCTTTTGGTCCCCTTTTGGTCTCCTTTTGTCCCTTTTGTGTCTCCTTTTTGTCCCTTTTGTGTCTCCTTTTTGTCCCGTTTGTGTCTCCTTTGTGTCTCCTTTGTGTCTCCTTTTTGCCTCCATTTTGTCGCTCTGTGTCTCCTTTTTGTCCCTTTTGTGTCTTTTTGTGTCTCCTTTTTGTCCCTTTTGTGTCTCCTTTTTCTCTCCTTTTTGTCTATTTTTTGTCTCTTTTTTGTCCCTTTTGTGTCCCGTTTTGTGTCTCCTTTTTGTCTCTTTTTGTCCCCTTGTTGCCTCGTTTTCATCTGCTCGTTTGTCCCCTTTTTGTCCCCTTTTTGTCCTTTTTTTGTCCTCCTTTTGGCCCCTTTTTGTCTCCTTTTTGTCCCCCTTCTATTCCCTTTTTGTGTCCTTCCTATTTCCTTTTTGTCTCCTTTTTTTCCCCTTTTTGTCTTCGTTGTGTCTCCTTTTTGTCTCCTTTTTGTCTCCTTCTGGTCTCCTTTTTGTCTCATTCTTTCTCCCCTTTCTGTCCCTTTTTTGTCTCCTTTCTGTCTCTTTTCTGTCTCTTTTTGTCCCCTTGTCGCCTCGTTTTATCTCCTTATTTGTCCCCTTTTTGTCGCCGTTTTGTCCTTTTTTTGTCTCCTTTTTGTCTCCTTTTTGTCTCCTTTTTGTCTCCTTTTTGTCTCCTTTTTGTCTCCTTTTCTGCCCTTTCTGTTTCTGTCTTATCTCCCACTTGTCTCTTTTTTCCTCTCCCCATTTGTCTCCTTCCTGTCCCCCATTTTGTGTCTCCTTATCTGTCCCCTTTTATTTATTTTGTCTCCTTTCATTTATTTTGTCTCCTTTTATTTATTTTGTCTCCTCTCATTTATTTTGTCTCCTTTCATTACTTTTGTCTCCTTCTCTGTCCCTCTGCTTCGTCTCCTCATCTCTCTCCCTCTCGAATGCCCCAAACTCTAAACCCTAAACCCTAAACCCTCTCCAATGCCCTAAACCCTAAACCCTAAACCCTAAACCCTAAACCCTAAACCCTAATTTGTGGTTTGCAGTTGATTCTGGGCGGGGGTTTCTCTGGGACAGTGAATTTGGCGTTGTTGGTGGTGGTTTTGGTGCCGGTGGTTTTCTTTTTGTTGGAGGTTTTGCTGAACCTGGCCTTCGCCTACTTCGACAACGTGCGGGCCACCAAACCCTTTTTTAGGGTTCCGTTCTTGGGTCTCCTTTTCCAAACCCTCGCGGCGCTTTCCGAAAAAAGAAAAGCCAAAGAACCCCTCGTGCTTTTCAACAACCGCGAGGAGACAATCGAGTTACTCGCCGCTCGCCGCAAGGGGGCCCTCGCGCGCCTGCTGCGCCCCCGCAGCAGCAGCAGCAGCAGCAGCAGCAGCAGCAGCAGCAGCAGCAGCAGCAGCAGCAGCAGCAGCAGGAGGGGGATAAACTACGAAGAACGCAGCTACTTTCTCAAGGTCCTCGGGGAGGCCCTGGGCCTCGCAGTGGTCCACTTGAGACTCGAAGTTGTCCCCGGATCTTTTTTGGAGTTTGCATTAAGACTTGGACTTTCTTTTTCTAAAATAGAAGAAGAGACACAAAGCAGCAGCGCCTCCCTCGGGGCCCTCGCCCGCGGAGACCTCAGCCAGCTGCTGGACTGGTCGCTGCAGCAGCAGAGTCGGAGACAAAAGGAGACAGAAATTCGGAGACAGCTCGTCAGGGCCCGGGGGACTCTCGCGGTCAACTCGGCCTTCAAAAACTGGCAGCAGAGAGTGAAAAAGGAGACACTGCAGCGCAGCAGCAGCAGCAGCAGCAGCAGCAGCAGCAGCAGCAGCAGCAGCAGCGGAGAAAGCGCGCACTCCGACACGGAACCCGACGAGGATACCAGTGCGCACAGACACACTTTGTCTCCTTTGCGGTTTTTTTTGGGTCTCCTTTTGGGTCTCCTTTTGTCTCCTTTTGGATCTTTATTGGCTCTTTATTGTCTCTTTATTGTCTCTTTATTGTCCCTTTTTTGTCTCTTTATTGTCTCTTTATTGTCTCTTTATTGTCTCTTTATTGTCCCTTTATTGTCTCTTTATTGTCTCTTTATTGTCCCTTTATTGTCTCTTTTTGGTCTCTTTTTGTCTCTCTTTCTGGTCTCTTTTGGTCTCTTTTTCGTCTCTTTTTGTCTCTCTTTTGTCTCCTTTTTGTCTCTTTTCGGCTCCGGTTTCTCTCTTTATTATATCCGTATTGTCTCTTTGTTGTCTCTTTTTGTCTCTTCTTTGCATTTTTAATTCCTTTTTGTTTCCATTTTGTCTCTTTTTGTCTCCTTTTGCTCCATTTTCCCCTTCTGCTTTTTATTTATCCCTTCTTCTTTAATTTGTCTCTTTTTGCCTTTTCCCCTTTTTTTCTTTGTTCCTTTTTTCCCCTTTTTATCTTTTTCCCCCATGTGTCTCCTTTTGTCTCCTTTTGTCTTTTTTATCTCCTTTTATTTCCTTTTAATTCCCCCTTTTTCCTGTTGTCTCCTTTTATTTCCTTTTATTTCTTTTTATTCCTTCTATTTCCTTTAATTTCCTTTTATTTCCTGGTGTCTCTTTTTATTTCCTTTTATTTCCTTTTGTTTTCTTATCTTGTATTTCCTTTTATGTCCCTTTATTTCCGTTTATTTCCTTTTCTTCTTATTGTCTCTTTCCCTCCTCTAGCCTCCTGTTATATCCAGTTGTCTTTTAATTGTCTCCTTTTGCCCCTCACTGTCTCCTCCTACTGTCTCCTCCTGTCTCTTGCTGTCTCTTATTGTCTCCTTTTGTCTCTCACTGTCTTTTACTCTCTTTTACTCTCTCTTACTGTCTCTTACTGTCTCCTATTTGTCTCCTTTGATCTCTTATTTGTCTCTTTTTATCTTTTACTGTCTCCTATTTGTCTCCTTATATCTCTTAGTGTTTCTTATTTTGTCTCCTTTTACCTTCTACTGTCTCTTACTTTGTCTCCTTTTATCTCTTACTGTCTCTTATCTGTCTCCTTTTTTCTTTTACTGTCTCCTATTTGTCTCCTTTTATCTCACTGTCTCTTATTTTGTCTCTTTTTATCTCTCACTGTCTCCTATTTGTCTCCTACTGTCTCTTTCTGTCTCTTTCTGTCTCTCCCGACCTCCCACTGTCTCCTTTTGTCTCCTTCAATCTCTCACTGTCTCCTTTTATCTTTTTTTCCTTTCATCTCTTATTATTTTCATCTATCTCTCACTGTCTCCTTTTGTCTCCTTTTTTCTTTTGTCTCTTCCCGTCTTCTTCCATCTCTCACTGTCTCCTTTTGTCTCCTCCTGTCTCCTCCCATCTCCCACTATCTCTTACTATCCTTAACTGTCTCCTTTTGTCTCCTTCTGTCTCCTTTTGTCTCATTTTGTCTCCTTTTGTCTCCTTTTGTCTCTTTTTGTCTCTTTTTTGTCTCTTTTTGTCTCTTTTTTGTCTCCTTTTGTCTCCTTTTGTCTCCTTTTATCTCCTTTTATCTCTCACTATCTCTTACTATTCCTTACTGTCTTCTTTAGTCTCTTTTTTTTCCTTTTATTTCCTTTTATCTCCTTTTATCTTTTACTATCTCTTGCTGTCTCTTACTATCTCTTACTATCCCTCGCTGTCTCCTTTTGTCTCCTTTTATCTTCTTTTGTCTCCTTGCATGCGTTGTGACTCCACGAGGGCCTTTTTGTCTCCTTTTATCTTTTCTTCTTTTCCAAATTATTCCCTTTTGTCCCTCATTATCTCACTGTCTCCTTTTATATTTAACTGTCCCCTTTTGTCTCCAACTGTCTTCTTTTATCTCCAACTGTCTCCTTTTAGATTTCCCCTCTCCTTCTATATTCAACTGTCTCCTTTTACATTTAACTGTCCCCTTTTGTCTTCATCTCTCCCCTTACTATCTCCAACTGTCTCCTTTTATTTTTGACTGTCTCCTTCCACATCTAACTGTCTCCTTTTACATCTAAATGTCTCCTTTTGTCTCCAACTGTCTCCTTTCACCTCCAAATGTCTCCTTTTGTCTTTTAGATATAAGTGTTTCCTTCTGTCTCGTTTCATCTTGAAGTGTCCCCTTTTATACAAAAGTGTCTCCTTTTGTCCCCTTTGTACATTATACAACTGTCTCCTTTTGTCTCTTCTGTATATAGCTGTCTCCTTTTATCTCCTCCATATATAATTGTCTCCTTTTATCTTCTCTATATACAACTGTCTCTTTTTGTCTCATTTATATAACTGTCTCCTTTTGTCTCCTTTATATATAAGTTAAATAGAAAAGTGTCTCCTTGCGTCTCGAACTGTCTCCTTTTATCTGCTTTAATCTCTAACTGTCTCCTTTAATATACGACTGTCTCCTTCCACCCATAACTGTCTCCTTCCACACAAAAGTGTCTCCTTTCGGCTGCTTTATCTCCAACTGTCTCCTTCAACATAAAACTGTCTCCTTTTATTCAAGACTGGCCCCAAAAGTGTCTCCTTTCATATATAGCTGTCTCTAAAACTGTCTCCTTTTATATAAAGGTGTCTCCTTTAATGTAAAGCCGTCTCCTTTTACGCAAAAGTGTCTCCTTTTAACTACATAAAGGGTCTCATTTTAATTATATTAACTGTTCCCTTGAATACAAAAGTGTCTCCTTTTAATTAAATAAGGTGTCTCCTCTCAACTACACAAACTGTCTCCTTTTAACCACAGAAACTGTCTCCTTTTAACCACATAAACTGTCTCCTTTGCTTACAGAAACTGTCTCCCTTCAACCCCAAAGTGTCTCCTTTCGACTTGAAAAGTGTCTCCTTTTGACCACATAAACTGTCTCCTTTTGTCCACATAAGTGTCTCCGTTTAACTGCACAAACTGTCTCCTTTCGCTAACAGAAGTGTCTCCTTTTGTCTCACAAACTGTCTCCTTTCGTCTACAAAAAGTGCCTCCTTTTGCCCACAAAAGTGTCTCCGTTTGCTTACGAACATTGTCTCCTTTTGCCGCAAAAGTGTCTCCTTTCGCTTACATAAACTCTCTCCCTTTGCCCACAAAAGTGTCTCCTCCTTCTTACAAAAGTGTCTCCTTTTAGCCACACAAACTGTCTCCCTTAGCCGCAAAAACTGTCTCCAAAGTGTCCCCTTTATCCCCAAAGTGTCTCCTTTCACTCCAAAGTGTCTCCTTTCACTCCAAAGCGTCTCCTTCCACCCCAAAGTGTCTCCTTTCACCTCCAAAGTGTCTCCTTTTATCTCCCCAAAAGTGTCTCCTTTATCCCCAAAACTGTCTCCTTTATCCCCAAAACTGTCTCCTTTATCCCCAAAAGTCTCCTTTATTCCAAAGTGTCTTTTTTTATTTCCCCAAAAGTGTCTCCTTTATCCCCAAAAGTGCCTCTTTTATCCCCAAAAGTGTCTCCTTTTAACCCCCCAAAACTGTCTCCTTTATCCCCAAAAGTGTCTCCTTTCACCCCCCAAAGTGTCTCCTCCTATTCCTCCCAAAGTGTCTCTTTCCACCTCCCAAAGTGTCTCCTCTTATCCCCCCAAAACTGTCTCCTTTATCCCCAAAGTGTCTCCTTTTATCCCCTCCAAAGTGTCTCCTTCCCCCCCCAAAGCGTCTCCTTTTATCCCAAAAACTGTCTCCTTTCACCCCCAAAGTGTCTCCTTTTATCCCCCCAAAGCTGTCTCCTTCATCCCCAAACTGTCTCCTTCCCCCCCCCAAAGTGTCTCCTTCCACCCCCCAAACTGTCTCCTTTTATCCCAAAAACTGTCTCCTTAAATCTCCCAAAGTGTCTCCTTTTGGCGCTGTTTTCAGCGGCGCGTTTGGAGGAGTTGGAGAAGGTGGTGGGGCGGATGACTCGCGAGGAGCAGACGGAGACACTTTATTTGTTTGACGAGAGTTTGTGGAGTTCGGGGATAGTTCTTTCGGAGTTATATTTGTCTCTTTTGAAGTTGCAATTAAAGTCTCCGCAGACTTTGGCGGATCAATTTGAAGCTTTTCGCGAGAAGAAGCAGCTGCAGCAGGAGCAGCAAACTGCGCAGCAAAGGGCCCGCAACAAAAAGCTCAAACTGCTGAAAAAGGCCCTCAACTGTCTCCTCCGGGAGGCCCCCGGGGGGGCTGCGCAGCTGCTGCCCACGGCTGCGGAGGCGCAGCAGACGCAGCAGCGGCTGCAGCAGGTGCAGCAGCAGCAGCAGCTGCTGCAGCAGCAGCTGCTGCGCCTTAGGGACAAACCCCACACTTTCAGCCCCGACTCCCCAGAGACCTACTTCGCCTTTCTCCAAAACCCCACACCCGAGGAAGCAGAGGCCTTCTTCACGGAACCCGACGAATCCACCAGCAGCAGCAGCAGCAGCAGCAGCAGCAGCAGCAGCAGCAGCAGTGCTGCTGCAGCAGCAGACGCGCAAACGGCGCAGCCGGAAGCAACGCCGCCTGACGACGCTGCCGCGCTCTTCGCCTCCGACTCCGAAAACGAAGGAGACAGGTCTCAACGCAACCAACTCCTGCTGCTGCTGCTGCTGCTGCTGCTGCTGCTGCTGCTGTTGTTGCTGCTGCTGCTGCTGTTGCTGTCGTTCTTGTTCTTGTTGGGGTGTTTGTGCGCTTGAAGGCTTTTGCTGCTGCTGCTTCTCGTGCTGCTCACCCCTACGCCACTCTCGCTGATGCTTCCACTACTGCTGCTGCCGCTGCTGCTGCTGCTGCTGCTGCTGCTGCTGCTGCTGCTGCTGCTGCTGCTGCTGAGGGCGAGCGGCGTCTGCTGCTGCTGCTGTTTGCTGCTGTTCTTAGGGTCGTTCGAGTGGTGGGGGCGGACGCTGACCAGTGGATGGAAGATTAAGTGAATTAATTTAATTAATTAATTAATTAATTTAATTAATTAATTAATTTAATTAATTAATTAATTAATTAATTAATTAATTAATTAATTAATTTTTATTCATTTAATTAATTACTTGGTTGGCCATTTACTCAATCGCAAAGAGACACTTCTTGTTCAGAAGCAGCAGCAGCAGCAAACACCCAGGAGCTGCTGCTGCTTCAGCTTCCCCAGCCAGCTGCTGCACCTGCCGCTGCTGCTGCTGCAGCATCAGCAGCTACTGCTGCTCCAGCAAAAGCAGCAGCAGCAGCAGCAGCTGCTGCTGCTGCTGCTGCTGCTGCGTGGCAGCGTTTGTGGGGCAGGGAACAATGCTGTCCTGCAGCAGCTAAACGCCGCGGCTAGCTAGCTCTGGTCACTCAGGGCCAGGCCATCTGCTGTTGCACCAGCTAGCTGCAGCAGCTAGCTGCAGCAGCTAGCTGCAGCAGCCAGCTGCTGCGAGCTGCGGCTAGCTGCGACTTGTTATGGCTAGCTGTGGCTTGCTGTGGCTAGCTGGGCTTAGCTCTGGCTGCTTGCAGCTAGCTGTGGCTAGCTTTGGCTAGCTGCGTCTACTTGTAACAGGCCGTGGCTAGCTGTGGCTAGCTGTGGCTAGCTGTGGCTAGCTGTGGCTAGCTGTGGCTAGCTGTGGCTAGCTGCTGCTGCTCATTCTGGCTTTCAAGCTTGAATATGATTATACAATCCTGTGTGGAACGAGCCAGCAGCTAGCCATAGCTAGCCACAGCTAGCCACAGCTAGCATTAGCTAGCCACAGCTAGCCATAGCTAGCTACAGCTAGCCATAGGTAGTCAGAGCTAGCCATACTTAGTCACAGCAAGCCAGTGATAGCCACGGCTAGCCATTGGCAGTCACAGCTAGCCAGAGATAGCCACAGCTAGCCATAGATAGTAGCCGCTAGCCACGGCTTGCCGTTGCTAGCCATAGCTAGCCACAGCTAGCCATAGCTAGCCACAGCTAGCCACAGCTAGCTGCAACTGGGCTCAAATAGCCACAGAAAACTACAGTGGCTAGCTGTATCTAGACACAGCTAGCTAGCCACAGCTAGCCATGGCCAGTCATAGCTAGCCATGACTAGCCAGAGCTAGCTACAGCTAGCTATACTTACGCCCAGCTAGCCACAGCTAGCTGTAGCTAGCCAAGGCTAGATGCCACAACTGTTGGGAGCTGCAGGTAGCTTCTGTTTTGCCGAAGCTAACGGGGTAGCTCGGATTCCCAAACCCTAAACCCTAAACCCTAAACCCTAAACCCTAAACCCTAAGCCCTGAGCTTTTGGTGGAATGAGAAGCAGCAGTTCATACCTGACGCTGAAGCTTTGGGAGCAGCAGCAGAAGATAAGAGAGGGGTTCCATTAATTGGGGTTTTATTTTTGGGGTTTTGTACTTGAGACCAGCTCCTAGAGTTTAGGGTTTAGGGTTTAGGGTTTAGGGCCAACAGGACCCATACTGCCACCTCTTGTCTGGCCTTTAATTTCACAGCAAAATCAAAGGGTTTGCGGCTTATGGCTTGAGGCTTACGATTTAGGGTTTAGGGTTTAGGGTTTAGGGTTTAGGGTTTAAGAGTTGGTGTCGCAATCGATGCAAAGAAAGGCTTTCTGCTAAAAGCGACAAAAGAAGAAATTAATTTGCATTTATTTAAATTTAAAATGCATTTTTAGATCTATTTTGTATTTATTTAAGTGGAGTTTCCGTTGCTAATGAAGAAAAGGTGGATTAGGGTTTAGGGTTTGCAGTCTAGGGTTTAGGGTTTAGGGTTAGGGTTTAGGGCGGGGGGCCCTTCTATGCCTTGCCAGAGGCTCCCAAGGAGCTCTTTCTGCGTGTATTTAATTGGAGTTTATTTATTTAATTATTTTAATTTAAAATAATCAAAAAACAATTCAAAAAACATAAAAATAGATCATTTCCGCCAACCCCTGGGGCCTTCATGGGGGCCCCCCTTTCTGCAGCTAAACCATTTCGCGGCCTTTTTACTTCTCAGTTTGCACTTCTCTTTTTCTATTCCATTTTTATTTCCTCAGCTTTAAAACCCCCCCAAGCAGAACACCATTTGGGGGCCCCCTTCATCAGGGGCCCCCTGGGGGCCCCCAGGGGGGCCCCCCAGGGGGCCCCCAGCAGGGGGGCCCCCCGGGGGCCCCCCGTACCCTCTCCGGGGTTTATTATGCGCGCTTCTGGGGGCCCCTGGGGGGCCCCCGGGGGCCCCCCAGGGGCCCCCGGGGGCCCACCCCCGCTGTTTGCGAAGGGGCCACCCCCCTCTAAACGGCGCAAAGGGCGGCAGAGCAGCAGCAGCAGCAGCAGCAGCAGCAGCAGCAGCAGCAGCAGCAGCAAGAAGAACCGCGACTGTCTGAGTCTGGCGGGCCGGGTGGTGTCTTGCTTGCCTGGGGGCTGGTTCAAAGTGCAGCTGGAAGCAGCAGCAGCAGCAAGAGCAGCAGCAGCAGCAGCAGCAGGCCTCTGCCCCGCGTTTGGGGGCCCCCTGGGGGCCCCCGAGGGTTTGAAAAACAAAACCCTAATTTGTGGTCTAAGCGGGAAGCTGCGGATAAGCCGGGTGTACGTACACCTCCACGACTTCGTTGTGGTGGAAACAAATCCCATTTCTCCCGACAAAGGAAGAATTGTTTTCCGAATCAAAGAAAGTGCTGCAGAAACTGCTGCTGCTGCTGCTGCTGCAGAAACTGCTGCTGCTGCTGCTGCTGCTGCTGCAGACGCAGAGGATGGCGATGCTGATGATGCGGATGCTGACGATGACGAGTGAGCTGCAGCAGCAGCAGCAGCAGCAACAGCAGCAACAGCAGCAGCAACAGCAGCAGCAGCAGCAGCAACAGCAGCAGCAGCAACAGCAGCAGCAACAGCAGCAGCAGCAGCAGCAGCAGCAGCAGCAATAATAGCAGCAGCAGCAGAAAGCAGGAACGAATAAAGTATGCACAAAGGCGCAGGAGCAGCAGCAGCAGCAGCTCTACTATCAGCAGCAGCAGCAGTAGCGGCAGCAGCAGCAGCAGCAGCAAACACTACTGCGTAGCTGGTGAACCCTAAACCCTAATCCCTCAAAATTTCATCGGGGACACCAACTTTGTGGAATTTGGTCTTAAACTTTATTTTTCGAGCGCTAGATCGTAAACCCTAAATTAGGGTTTACAGCTCCAAACCCTACATCTGAGCCTCTGGCCGTCAGCTAGACGCTTTAGGCCTAACGCAGCGCTTAACCCTAAACCCTAAACCCTAGAGGAGACGTCATAAACCCTGAACCCTAAACCCTAGAGGAGACGCCATAAACCCTAAACCCTAAACCCTAGAGGGGCCGTTATAAAGGCATTTTGCCATTTTGCAAATCCCAAACCCTTTTAAAATGCATCATTTGAATTTAAAAATTGAAATGTTTCCAAAGTTGCAAATCTTTTTTATTTCGCCAAAAGTCCCAAAGAGGGTTTGAGACGCGAAGTCAAACCCTAGCCGCCCCACGACGAGGGTTTGAGACTTGAAGCCAAACCCTAAAAAAGGGTTTTAATCGCAGGAAAAAATTCAGAAAAATCCACTCGGCCAGGGGGCAGCAAATGGCTCTTTTATTACCCAGTCAAACATTTCGAACAAACCATTTCCCTTTTTGAGGGTTTGAGGGCTCTAAACCCTAAATCGAGGGTTTGAGGGCTCTAAACCCTAAATCGAGGGTTTGAGGGCCCTAAACCCTAAATCCAGGGTTTGAGGGCTTTAAACCCTAATTGAGGAGCATAGGAGCATTGAACACTTTCAAAACCCTCATGGTGGTTTAAGTTGCTAAGCCCTACTTTAGGCATTGAGTCCTCGGCTGCGTTCCAAACCCTAAATCAGGGTTTCTAGACTATGCCATACAGGCTCATTCAGCCGCAGCACAAACCCTTAATCAGGGTTTTGGAACGACTGTAGAAGCGCACTCAGCTGCAGCACAAACCCTGATCGGGGTTTTAACACTATGCCATAGAATCCCCCTCCGCTGTTACACAAACCCTAAATCAGGGTTTGAAATCTACCATACAAACCCAGTCAGCTGCAGCGCAAACCCTAAATTAGGGTTTCACGACCACATCAAAAAAACCCTCAACAGCCAAGTCTGGCAGAAAATACCCAACGAGAGCAAACCCTAGCCAGTGCTGCACTCATTTTGAATCCTCTCCAAAATTGAACCCTAAACCCTAAACCCTTAACCCTAAACCCTAAACCCTAGTGCCTAAACCCTAGGCACTAAACCCCTTTGCTTCTGAACGCCGCCCGAGGCGGAACCCACTAACTGCTGCAAAGTCAAATTAGGGTTTAGGGTTTGCTGTTTAGGGTTTAGGGCTTGAAATAATAATTATTTTATGAGGCTAAAACCCTAAACCCTAAACCCTAAACCCTAAACCCTAAATGAATGTTATGTGAATAATAATAATGCTAAATAAAATCCGTCCTGCTGTTGATGTGTGAAGAAAGAATGAAGTCGTGGGCCCTGAGCCACTAAGAGTAATAAACCCCAAACCCTAAACCCTAAACCCTAAACCCTAAACCCTGAAATTTCAAAGCGCAGATGAGAGGTTTAGAGGTCAGCTTATGAAAGCATGCATTAGATTTAGGGTTTAGGGTTTTGGCAGCTTCGAATAAACAAACATGAACAGCGCCTAGAGTCTTTACGATCTTGCTGCTAAACCCTAAACCCTAAACCCTAAACCCTAAACCCTAAACCGTTTAGTAAGCCCCTCAGAGACACTCTCTAAATTGCCCCTAAGCCATAGTCCAAAACCCTAAACCCTCACCACTTCCCAAACCCTAAACCCTCGTTATGAATGCCACCCCGCTTTTGCGCTTCATGCGCTGTGAACAACAAACGTAAGCATCCCTCGAAACCCTAAACCCTAAACCCTAAACCCTAAACCCTAAACGATCAGATAGTGAAAGCCGAAAGAGGAATTCTAAACCCTTAAAAAGCGGTAGCAACAGATTTGAAATGAAGTGGCCCTAAACCCTAAACCCTAAACCCTAAACAGTTGCAAGTAAAAGCAAACCCTTGACCCTCGACTGGAGAGACCAAACCCTAAACCCTAGGCCGAGGGTTTGCAAACCCTCAAATCCCTGCCCACTAAGAACAAACCCTAAACCCTAAAAGCAGGTCAAGTGGTGCACGCTGCAAAAAAACAGCTGCGCTCATCCCTCCTTCGAGCCAGCAGCAGCAGCAGCAGCAGCAGCAGCAGCTGCTGCTGCTGCAGCAGCACAGAGCAGCAGCAACAGCAGCAGCAGTCCCTCAGCTACCTGGTGGTTTGCTGCTGCTGGATGGTGCGCCAGCAGCATTTGTTTTTGCAGACAAGGCAGCAGCAGCTGCAGCAGCAGCTCCTGTTGCTGCTGCTCCCGCGGCTGCTGTTGTTTGTGGTTTCGCTGGTGCTGCTGTCGCTGCTGCGGGTGCTGCTAATGCTGCTGCTGCTGCTGCTGCTGCTGCTGCTGCAGGAGCAGCAGCGCTTGTCGGCGTGGGGGTTCGAGTTGCTGCAGCTGCCAGAGTAGCTGCTGCAGCGCCTGCAGCCGAAGCCGCACCAGGGTTCTGCTGCTGCTGCTGCTGCTGCTGCTGCTGCTGCTGCTGCTGCTCGAGCTGGCTGGGTTTCTTGCCCCCGCTGTCGCCAGTGGGTCCCCTCTGCACTGCAGCAAAAGCTTCATCTGTTGCTGCTGCATGCAGGGCAGCAGCAGCAGCAGCAGCCTGGGCCACAGCTGCGGCGGAGTGTGCTGCTGCTGCTGCTGCTTTTGCTGTCTCCTTCGCAGTCGCTGCCGTCTCTGCAGCAACGCCTGCAGCAGGAGCAGCAGGCGTTGGGGTGTGCCGCTCAGCAGCAGCATCGTGCTGCTCTGCTGCTGCTGCTGCTGCTGCTGCTGCTGCTGCATGCGGCTGGCCTGTCTGGGACTGCTTAGACCGGCTGCTGCTTTCGTCTGCCGCTGCTGCTGCTTGCGCAGCAGCAGCCGACGCGCGCGCGGCATCTGCAGCAGCAGCTGCTGCTGCAGTGGCCGCTGCTGCTGCTGCTGCTGCTGGAGGCAGCGTGCTGCTGGCGCCGGTTGCAGCAATGGCCCCTTGTGTTGCTGCTGCTGCTGCTGTTGTTGCAACAGCAGCAGCAACAGCTTGTGTGCTTCCTGTCGAGTCTTTCTCTCGCGTTTCTGCTGCCGCCTTCACAGCAGCTGGAGCCGCAGCAGCAGCGACAGCAGCAGCTGCTGCTGTTGCTGGAGCAGCAGCAGCGGCCGCCGCTGCAGCAGCTGGAGCAGCAGCAGTCTTGGCTTGCTGCTGCTGCGCCCGCTGCTGCGCAAGTCTGTTGTGGGCGTTGGGGATGGTAAATGTCGAGGCCCCATCTGCTGCAGCAAGTGCATGCGGGTCTATTTGCTGCACTGAAGGGTCTGCAAGCAGCAGCAGCAGCAGCAGCAGCAGCAGCAGAATGGAGCAGCAAATCCGTCAGGCGCTCCCACAGCAGCAGCAGCAGCAGCAGCAGCAACAGCAAACTCAGCAGCACCAGCACCTCGCCACCGCCTCCAGCAGCACCAGCGCCACCCTCCGCAACAGCAACATCATCATCATCATCATCAGCAGCAGCAGCAGCAGCGGACTGAGCAC